ACCATCATCACTCCAAATTTTGGTCCTGAAAACTAAAACTAAAAATAGTTAATTTTTAATCCCACAGCTAGAGATGTGGCTCTTGTCTATTACAAACAAGTCCCTAGGATTGGCCTCCAGCTCTAGGGGGAAAACCAAACCAAACCAACAACAACAAAAAATGTTCCATTAACTCACATGTTTTTCAGAATCATCTTACAGGATCTAAGAGACTAAGGAAATTTAGCTATCAAGCTGGGCTTATAGTCAGAGTACAGTACTTGTCTAATATGAGCAATCCTGTGCTCAGGCTCCAGAGCACAATGAAGGTAAATAAAATTAGGTAGCAGTCAGTGGCTTGAGAGGCTGAAAAAAAAAAAAAAGAGGATCAAAAGTTCAGGCCAGGGCCAGCAAGGTCAACAGGTTAAAGTGCTTGCTGATAAACCTGATGAACATAGTTCAATCCCAGGAACCCACATGTTAAAATGAATGGAACAACTCCCTCAAGTTGTCCTCTGACCTCTACATATACGTGAGTGGGGGTGGGGTATACATGTTCATACACATAAACATGCATACAAATAAATAAATGCACTTTTTTAAAGGTTTGGGGCCAGCCTAACCACCTTACTGAAACCACCTTACTGAAAATTTAAAGGAAGGAGGGGGAGCGAGCACTGAAAAGATGGCTCAGCAGTTAAGAGCTGCTCTTTCCAGAGGAAAGAGTTTCAGTCCCAGCATCCACATGGTGGCTCACAAATATATATAACTCCAGTTCTGGGGATCAGTCTCCCTTTTCTGGCTGCCAAGAACACCAGACACACACATGGCACACAGACATACATCATGCAGGCAAAACCACCACACACATAAAAATAAAAACTTTTTTTTTAAGATATGAGGACATGGCAGAGACAGGTGGATTTCTGAGTTCAAGAGTTTGAGGCTAGCCTGGTCTACAGAGTGAGTTCCAGGACAGCCAGGGCTACACAGAGAAACCCTGTCTCGAAAAAGCAAAAAAAAAAAAAGATATGAGGACATTCACTCAGTAGATAATTTGGATAGCATATGGGAGATACTAGGTTCAAACCCCAGTAAAACATAGACACATATGCGTACAAATGAAAGAAAAAAATACACAGGTGTCAATACTCTTAACAACTAGCATAACTATCAAAATCAAATCATTCCTGAATTGGCTGCTTTATATTTTCTCTTGAACCACATACTCTGCCTTAAATAATTACCTCACCCTTGCCTTTCGAACATTTAGGATAACAGCTTTTTATTTTATTGTTCTCTAGTCAACTAGTGTATGCCATTTAATGTTTTAAGAGAACAGTAAGAAAGGGGAAAGGCAAAGGGGCCGCTAGCATTTTTCTTCATTCTTTCAAACCACTTCCTTGACTTAATCTTAGACTCTAGGTTACCTAAAGGAAGACAGCCTCGTCAAGTACATGAGGTGTGGTTTCACAGAGGAATCATCAGTGTTCAGCTGCAGGATGAGGATGCCTATCCAGAGCCATCCAAAAATAGAACAAGTCATTGCGCAGCAATTACTGCTTTGTGAAGTTTATTGCATCCATTACTGACTTTCACTCTTAAGCATCTGCCCCATTTTTACCAGACCACAAAAAAAAAAAAAGTTTCAGAACACTTCCATGAGCTCTAATCAATAAGATTGTTTGCATTTTATCAAAATGTCACTTTAGTATTACTGTTTTGTATCATTATTCACAAAACTACTTTAACATGCATCAGGAAAGTTTAACATGCATTAAGAAGGTTAAATATTAAAGAGCTAAAAGAAAACACTAAATGCTAAACTCCTGATCCCCTAGAGTTACCATTTTCTGCTTTTTAGGCTTAGACAATTCAGAATTCCTATCAATTTCTAGTCCACTTATTATTCTTATTGGAGCGGGGCATATCCATGCCAGAGGTGCTTGTATAGGAGTCAGAGGGTAACTTGCAGGAACCATTTCTTCCTTCCTATTGTTTATATCCCAAGGAATGAATGTACATCATCACACTTGGCAGCAATCACCTTTACCCACTAAGCCATTTGTCACCAGTTTACAGTTCATTTGGGTCAATTTGAATTAAAAGGGTTATCTTCTAGAAATGTTGCAATAATGCAACAACATGAACCAAGAAACTTGTAAAATGTTCTTATCCTTCAGTAAATCTACTTCTAAAAGCCTAATGGGAAAAAATTGAAAACTCAATGCATTATCCATATTCTTCCAGTATTATTCAAAAATGAGAAATCAGAACCTCATGGAAGGGTGATATTATGGAATATCATACAACTTGTACAACTATTAAAAACATTAAAAAATGACCAAAAAGTAGTAGCACACATCTTTAGTCCCAGTATTTTAGAGGCTAAAATAGGAAGATCCTTTTAGCCCAGGAATTTGACACCTCATCTTAAAAAAAGAAAAGAGGGCCAGAGAGAGATGGCTTAGTGAGCAAAGGTGCTTGCTGTAAAGCTTGACAGCCTGTCTTCCATCCCAAAATTCACACAGTGGAAAGAGAACCAACTCCCCATCAACAGTCCTCTATCTTCCACATATATACTGCGGCATACACACACCTACATGTACACACATACACAAAATGAATATACATACACACACACATATGTATATACCTATATATGTACACACACACACACAGAGCATAAAATGTTGAGTGTATCCCAACCCTGCCTTTGTGCAGTAATAACTAGAATGAGCTAGACTGACACTTTTCTGCAAACAAGATTTCTAAAACCAGTTACTCAAAGATCACAAGGCTGTCCTTTGGGCTCCTAGGAACAAAGATCAAACCAAGTTAACTTCAGGCAAACACTGCTATCAAGTATCACTGGACCACGACACACCACACACCTCTGCTTCCTCTTCCCACTTCTCTCCCAACAGGGGTTTTGTTCTACATTCTCCCTTTAACTGGGATTGAGAAGATGATCTTGAAAGAAGCTTGTGTTCCTAAATATGGCATAGCTTTACGTGAATTTTCGATAATACTCATTCATTAACAGCATTCAATGACATTTCACACATTTGCAAGACAAACTAACAAAATTAACTCCTTAGTGACAAAAATCCATTCCTAAGCAAGGAAAAATTATACCTATAATTTGAAGTTATTTAAATAAGCTTAAATTGTCTTTGTAAAATGAGTCTGTAATAAAAGCAAAATTCAGACACCCAGTACAAGGCAAAAGCAGGTGACACTAAACCATTAACAGTCCTGTATCTTCCACATATACACCATGGTATATACACACCCACATGTACACACTAAACCATTAACAGTCCTGTATCTTCCACATATATACCATGGCATACACACACCCACATGTACACACATACACATATTCATATTCATAAATGTAAGTTTATGAAAAAACTGGAAACATTATTGTCAAGAATGCAACATACTTTAAAGTGCTTTATGAATACTGACTAATGTGCTACATTCACATTAAAGGTGGTTATGTGGAAGAGTATGAGTTATCTTAAAATTTGTAAAAAGACAAAATTTACGGTGGTTTTCTGTTTTCATATTATATAGTAAAAAAAAAAAAAACCTTGAGATTAAGGAAAAATTAAATGCACTCGCACAAAAAAGGTTAACAAACTGTGTTTTTGAAGGTTTTACGGTGAGGGGGACAAAAGGTAATAACAGATGAACTACAACCAAGCACTGTCACACTGAGAAAGAAATCATTTAACTGGTTTCTAGCTTGGTTTTCCTAAAAACTATTTTAAATACAAGTCCATTAAAATTAAAATTCAAGAAAATAAGAAACCATAACTAATACACACAAGTAATTTTTAACATAAATTCTACTTTATGTCAAATCATTCGACTGTTTTTTTAAAGCATGCTTTCCCTTGCAAAGTTCCATCGAAGTGAACCAGTCAACAGCTCCCCTAATTCTTTACAAGTACTGAAGCTCTTTCTTGAGACTGGCAAAAAGAAAGGCTCAGACTGGCATCTCCACAATGACTTGCATTTTACATAAAATGTTAAAACCTTCAGTAGATAACTACAAAAAAAAATTTCTGGAAGATAACCAACCTACTTTGAGTGGAAAAAAGTCAAAGGTTGGAAGACTTAGCTACATCAGATCACAATGGGCGAGTGTAAAATCCAAGAGGGTCACCATCAAAATGAAGATTTCAAACTTGTTTGGAGAAGGTTCATTTGGCAGTGATGAGCAACTGCATTCACTTCCTGCTCAGAAGCAACTCTAATTTCTGCCATTTCCTTTTAAAGGAAACAGTACTACAACACAGGGCAGAGGGTCGGCAAAGGTATACCAACACCAAGTCTTAAAACAACCATCTTCCCACGTTTGTGTTTTTATATTCACAATGAGTGCTCAGCTTTCCATACTACTTAACACAATTTGGTCTTGGGCTACTTGTAAACCAAATAATACCAAAAAGATCCATTTTGTGAAGAGTCATGGCTGAACACAACCATTTCAAGAATTATAATGTACTAGGTATTAGGAAATCAAATCACTTAGGTGGAATCTTCACTGTGCAAGTGAATGTCACTCTGCCCTCAGTAATTACGTTTTGTAGTGATAGCTATAGTGTTAAAACAGAAAATACACAGGTAACAATGTAGCTGCGACATTGTCAGATAATTAGGTCTCCCGGAGGGTAAGTGGTTTCTGTAGAGGATAGGCCCTAAACGCCCCTGCTCCTTCAACCCTTCTCCCAGACGCGTGCTTAAAAGCAGCGTCTCAAAGGAAGACATAAAGGCCAAAGGTTCTGAAAGAGAGAAGACCTGAGGGGAGGACCTCAAAGTGCCTTCGGGGCACTGGATCTGGAGCCTGCCAAGGGTACCAAGGGGCCCACTGCAAAGGCGAGTTTGTGGGGCCTGTCGAGAGAGGCGGCCTCGCCTAGGAGTTGCAACACACTCTTTCTCCAGTGCGCAGCGCTCGGCCTGGGGGAGGGGGAGGAGGGGAAACAGCTGCCAGGGGAGCAGCGGGCCCAACCCGGCCCAGCCCGCTCACCGTGAGGGTGTCGTCTATGTAGAGGGGAATCTGCCTCCTCTCGAAGGGGAACTCCTCCTCCCCGTCCCTGCACACTGCCACCAGTCGCGCCATCGTCCCCGACGCTGCCGTTGCCACCGTCACCACCTCCTCCCAGCTGCCGCTGCTGCCGCCGCCGCCGCTGCTCCTGCCGCTGCTGCCTCCTCCCAGCTCCTGCCTGCAACAGCCAAACCCCGCGAGCGTAAGCACCCGCCACCTCGCAGCACATTCGCCACGGGGGAAAGGGGTGGGGGGGCACTGAGCAAGAGAGGACGGGAGAGCCGCGCTGCGTTTCCCATCACCCGATTCCACACGCGCTCAGCCAATCAGCGCCCCCCAGCGCCGGGACCCGCCCCCTCGCGCCGCCTGCCCTCCCCCACCTACCCCTCCCCGCCCGCCCGCTGGCCTCCAGTCAGGGTCCAAAGGAGAGGCGGAAAGGACCTGCTGGCCCCGGGACATCCCCGCCCGGCTCGGGAGTCCGGGCTCCAGGAGCCCATCCCCGCCTCGGCTCCACAGCCCATGCCCGCACCCCGCCGCTGACCCCTTCTCCCCTGTCGGAGCGCCCCGCCCAGGGTGGCCCCTAGGCTGCAGTTGCCCGGCGCCACCCCGCCCCTGGGAGGGGTCGACCCCGCCTCGGCTCTGCAGAGTTCGGGGTGGGGGCAAGCGCAGACCCAGTCCTCACCCAGGTCGGAGGAGGGCTCTCAGTTCTGACCTTCACTGACTTCGCGGACGCCTCCCTGACCCCCACCTCTGCTCCCCGTTACCGGCTGACGAGGCCCGCGTCAGGGCCGGCCTGGGCGGGAGCGCGGCTGCGAATGCCGTTTCCTCTCCAGGCTCAGTCAGCCGCTCGCGCCACGGGGAGTGTGGGAGGGAGGGCGGGGGACGTGGGGAGGGTGGGGCCGGGAGGGGCCGCGAACTCCAGCGGGGCCTCCCTCTTCTCGCGAGACCGCGGCCGCCTCGCTCGTGTCCCGACTTTCGAAATCGGTGTGTAGAGGTGGGGGGGACTCCCTGTGCTGTCGCGCGCGGCTGATCTGCGCGGTGCCCCGGATTTACTAAAATGAGCGTGAAATAGGGCCAGCAGGGAGGCTGAGCCTGGGTCCCTCCCCGGGACGAACTAGGATCTGCTCTCTGGAGACCGGTGGGGTGAAAAGCGCCCACTCCGGGTGGACGGTGTAGGTCCGGGCCCAGATAAGACTTAGATGAGCGATGAGGAGCTGAGGCGGTCGAGGTCTATGAAAGCGGACAGTGGAGAGGCCTTTGGCCTTGTTTTCCAGGTTTGACACATGCGGACTTCCACCACTGGAAGAAAGACTGGAGGAAAGGGATCTGCTACCCTGATTGACCCAGAACCAGCCGCCTCATGGGGACTGTGTCAAGATCTCTCGACAGGATGGAAAATACGTGTAGAATCTGTTGTTACAATAGACAGAAAATGGAACAGTAGTCCTATGTGTAGGATCTGACCAAAGGAACTTCTTGAGTTAATATTAACTTAAGAGGCTCCCTTGGACAAAGTACTGATGGTGGCCAAAGGCTCTTCGGTCTGACCATCTTCCGAGAACCAGAGCTGCTGTAAAGAGAGTTCCTCTACACCCTGACCACTGCCACATTCTCAAGTCCTAGTCTAAGGAGGTCCATTGTAAAGCCAAAAGGATGGGAAATGTTTCGTCTTTGTGGTTTTAATGATAAATCCACTCGATGCTTGTACAAATGCCCGATCTTAAGGACAGATCGAATATTTTCTGGTAAAATAGACTAAAGTTGTTGTTACTGACATTTAAAAGTATTTTGATCACATGAAGTCTTTCAAATCACAACCAAAAAAAAAAAAAAAATCCACACTGCATCCTTAGCCATGCTGACTTATGACATTGTGTGGTCATTGTTAGAGTAGGTGACATAATAAACTGGAAGAACCATTGTGTGTTCCCAAAGGTGTGATTATCCAGTAAATATGTCTTTGGGCCATACTAAAAGCAGAACAGTGTGATCCTTAATTTAAATCCAGTTTTTCATGCACGTTCTGAAAGGTTAGAATACAGACATTTTTAGAAAATCTTGTGTTTTATGTCTATGACTACTACAATCCATGTACCTACTTTGATTTTTGAATTTTAGATTATGTTTGGTAACAAATATTGAGCCAATACGTATATAGCTACTAACTTTAATTTTCACTATTAAATACACACCAGATACTAGCAAAGAATCAAGCTATGAAGAAAAGGGCAGTTGAAAAGCTAGAATACCTTCTGTTTTCACTACAATGGCTGTATTTGATATGGTAGTAAAATCAATGTTACTTAAATTAGTACATCTGCAAATCTTAAGTTGGATTTTCCTTTGTGTGATCTGACAGTATGAAATTCTATTTTATCAATTACAAATAGAAACACAAGACCAGTATGGTAGCACATACCTGCAATCCCAGCACTTAGAGGAGGCTAAGGCAGGGGAGTTTACCATAAATTGAAGACCAGATTAGATTGCACAGACCTTTTTTCAAAATAGGAATTAAGTAGACATATTAGGCATTCCTTTTAATAGGCATAAATTAAAATGTAAGCTCCTTAAAGGTAGGGTTTTGTCTCATCTGTTTGTATTCCTGGCACCTATACCCGACACAATAGAGCTCAGTAAATCAATTGTGATCTTTCCCTTCTGAAAAACAAATCAGAGGGAGTTTTGCCTACTAATTCTGATTTTATGAATTCATTAGCTTTTCTTTAGGACATTGGGAATTGGAAGAAGGGAAAAACAGTGTACACTTTGTCCTTTTTAGTTAACATCTGTAATTATCAAAGATATAAACTTACTGAGTCTAGAAAAGTATAGAGGGCTGAAGATATAGTGGTAGAACACTTGGTCTAGCAGGTTCAAAGCCCAAGGTTCGGTATCCAGTACCACAAAAATAAGTAAATAACATAATATTAAACAAGAAAAGTGCCAGATATGGTACACATCCCAACACTGCAGAGACAGAGGCAAGTAAATCTCAGTGAGTTCCAAGCCTGTCTGTCATATATGGTGATACCCCATCTCAAAAACACAAAACAAAAAAAAACAGCTATTAACAAAAGCAACACACCAAATAAGATCTGCATTTAGTCATAAGATAACTTACTTTCTCTAAATGAATGTACTAGTTAAGCCACTCTTGTCTTCTGGCTGCTCCAAAAGATAAACTGTGAGGTACTGGTACAGTGTGACACAGCAGAAAAATCAATCACCTTTCCTAGTCATGCTTAATCTACATATTATACTCTTATTGGTTAAATTTCAAGTCTTACTTTTTAACTGAAAATAAAATATGATGTAATTGTAATCAGCAAATACAAAGATATTCTAACACTAAATTAGCCAACAAGTTTAAGACTAACCATCAAGTTAATAAACTGAAATGAACAAAATGCATTTAATAATTAGTATATTTACATTAAAAAATATATTTTGAGGGCTGGAAAGATGGCTCAGCAGTTAAGAGCACCAACTGCTCTTCCAGAGGTCCTGAGTTCAATTCTCAGCAACCACACGGTGGCTCACAACCACCTGTAATGGGATCCAATGACCACTTCTGGTGTGTCTCAAGACAGCTACAGTGTGGTCATATACATAAAATAAATAATTCTTTAAAAAAAAAAAATGTTAAACCTGTATCAGGAGGCTCCACCTGCTCTAAACTACACAATTTAGATTGCTAATAAATACTAAACTAAACACCCTGACCAGCAGCTATTTCTGATGTGCACTTGATATCAGAAAAGCAAAATTTCCTTGATTCTTACCCCCACATCCCCCACACACACCTAGACTGGCCTCAAACTCACTATGGAGTTGAGACTGGCTTTTAACTCCAAATCCTCCTTCCTCCATCTTCCAAATCCTAGGATTACAGGTTTGTGTCAGGATATCTGGCCAATATTAGCCTGCTTTAAAAGATATACATTGACCAAGCATGGTGCCATCCACCATTCCAGCACTTGGGAACAGATGGATCTCTATGAGTTTGAGGCCAGCATAGACTACATAGTTCCAAACTAGCCAAGGCTACATAGACTCTTAACCAAAAAAAAAAAAAAGGACATCAGAATGTGAAACTAAAGTCGTGTGGTTTTTAAATCTTTAGACTTAACAGCTGATTCAAAGATCTGCTTCAAGGTTTTAAATGATTCCAGTTCTCAGTAGACTATTAAGCCTTAGTGTAGCCAGTTCTATTAGACACTTTCATCGTTCTCATTCATTTCTTTGATTCTCTTTCCCATGGTTGAGGCTGCCTTATCTAGTCCCTTCCTGTTTTTCCAGCTTATAGCCCACACTTTTTTTCTGAGTTACCTACTTCCCTCCCAACTTACTTTTGCTGACAAATTCATTGCACATTGAGTATTCTCTGCCATCTACCCTTCTACCCTAATTCTCCAGACACATGTATCATCCATCAGCCTTAAAAATGCCCATCTATGGAGAAAACTTTTGTTTCTTCCTAGATTGGTTCTCAGTTTCTCATCTGTAACAATCCATAAGTGTTTTATTTTTCCTATGACTTTATATCAGTTTAATATGTTTCCCCTCACTAGACTACAAGCTCCAATATACTAGAAATTTGTTTTCTCTTTTTATTTTGAGACAGGCTGTATGTAGCCCAGACTAGCCTTGAGCTCTAGCTCCTGTCACAGCCTCCTGAATGCTATGACAGGTTGCAAACCTAGGTATGCTCTATTACTGTATCCCTAGCACAGAGTAGGCAACAAGGAATCTATCTTAAAACTTGTATAGCTGGGTTGAGGGTACACACTTAAAAATCCTAGCACTTGAGAAACTGAAGCTGGATTATCATAAATTCCAGACCAGTCTGGGCTACAGGGAGAATTTAAAGTTAGTACAGACTATATAGATCATGTATCAAAAGTTTGTCTTTGAGAAAAAAAAAGTAAAATGGATCAGGTACTTGAAAAAACTTGTTTGAATTATTATATATATAAACTACATCATCCAACTCAATCATTTATTGCATTTAACTGTTTGCTGGCTTGAAATGTATCTGGTTTTAAACACTTGCTTCTTACTCCTATACTTTATTAAATGATGAAAGTTCAGTATAAAAGAGGTATTGAAGGAACAGGAGAGACGGCTCCATCAGTCAGAGCACTTGCTGCTCCTGAGGAGGACTCAGGACGGGTACTTACATGGCTGTTTACAACCATCCATGACTCCAGTTTTCAGAACAAATGCTCATCTAACCTTTTCAGGCACCAAGCACGCCTATATACTGAGTTCCAGGTCAGCCAGGAATATACAGTGAGATTCCCAATTAAAAGAAAAGGAACTGGAAAAAAATGATCAATTAAGAACACTTACTTGCTGGTCTTCCAAAGGACCCAGGTTCAATTCTTAACACTCACATGGCAGTGCACAATCACTTGCAATTCCAGTCTCAGGGTATCCAGCACCCCTCTTCTGACTTCTGTGGGCATTATACACATGTGATGCGCAGATATACATGCAGGCAAAATATGCATACACATAAAAATTTTAATTGACAATTCATATCTTAATGTAAACATATGTAACACAAACATTATAATCACATAATTACATATCCATATAAACAGTCACAAATACAAGGCCATAATGATATATAGAAAGTAAAAATTACCACTATCCATCTTCCTGTGTCAAAACTACCAACGAGTGGGTGTGGTAGCTCATGCCTGAAATCCCGGAATTGAGCCTGAGGTAGGAGCATAGCTGCGAGCTCCAGGCAAAGCAAAAATCTATGTACAAGTTCTTTAAAATACTGGCCTTTCATAAGTTCCAATAAGTAAAACTTTGTTTACTTCCCCCCCCCCCCCCCCCCGCCCGGCCTCCGAGTGTCTCTGTACATAGCCTTGGGTTTTCTGAAACTCAACATGCAAACCAGGCTGGCTCAAACTCACAAAGATCTGCCTGCTTCTTCCTCCCATGTTCTGGGATTAATGCTTTGTGCCACTTCTGTTGGCTTATTTTACATAATGTTGATATGTATTAAACATCCAAGTACAGATACAGACACAAGAATCTGTAGGGGGAAATATTTAGAAAACGGTGCCTTCCCTGGCAGCCGCCATGTTCCTGCTGCTCCTCAGCTCTGACCAGGGCTCTAGCTAGCTAGATGCGCTGCCCTGGCACCCACGAGACACCAGCGTGGGGGAAGGCTCTGCCAATACACCAAGATGCATCCACAAAACTCGGCTGAATCCCAGGCAATATCTGCCATCCTCGCAGTACCCAGTAGAAATGAGACTCTTAAAGCTTAGTGATTATCTAAAGGATTTATATATTTAGAAATGATCAATCAACAAGATGCCCACATAATTACAGTTGTTACCCAGTATCTAACCTTTGGATAGAAGTTGCTACCCAGGACAGCTTTTTGAACCATCTGTGGTTCTCCATGGCTGATAGCCTCCTTCCTCTCCTCCCCTTCCTCTCTTTCTCCCCTCCCCTTCCTCTCTTCTCCCAGCTCCACCTCCTCTTCTACTGCCTAATCACCAAGTTCCACTGTGAATACAATGTAGCAGAATAAGTATCCTGCTACAAGAGTCTTCCTTTAAAAAAAAAAAAGGTAAAGTTTAATTTCTGTCACTGGGAACTGAAACGTCATAATAAAGTATGGTTAGGACTAGACTGCTAAGAACACATTTCCTCCACTCTTATTCTCCACTAAAATCATGCTATTCAAATACATGTTTCTTACCCACTCATCACCAAAACTTTATAGTTTTACCTCGTAAATCAAGTACATATATAACTAAACAGTTGGTAAACATATAAATATTGAGCAAAACTAAGGTCCATAAGGCACCACTGTGTAATGTATCCACTGTCAGGTTAATCAGACCTGTCATTATATTTGACAGTAAGAAAAAAAACAGCTGGTTCCTGTTCAGAGCTGTGATCAAACAAAGACTGGGTCCTTTTTTTTCAGGTTCTAGGATTAGAGATTCAGAATGGTTTTTATTTGTAGTAGGAGACTGTATAAGTTTCCAGGAACATGGAACTAGAGCCCCTTTAATTAGAAATTTGGCAAAACTCAAAATTATACCACTCAGTAATAGACAACTAAGCATCATCAGGCTGGAAGCAACCACCCACAGACAAAAGGCTAAATTGGCCATTCTTCGAGATACTGCTTCTATGTTTACTTGCACTATATGAAGAGAAATGAAGAAGCCCACAGCCACTGAGAAAACCCAACAAGTAACTTTTATCCAGTCTCTGACGTGTGCTTGTCTCTTAAGCACATACAATCCTGTTTGCACACCAGCCATGTGTATTGTCACATATCCCAAAGTGGAAATTATTCCTTCTCGGTTAGCATTTAATAAGCCAACTCTTGTGCCCCTGCCATCAGTACCGTACAAAATTATTCTCTTGAGTGGAGTAAAGTCAAGGGCTAGCTGATATACCACAGTAATGCTGACAGCCACAATCCACGACTTATTTAAAGGAAATATAATCAAAAGCAGAGATGTTATTAATTTGACAACAATGATGGTAAAGAAAAAATTCCAGTGAACTCCATACTCAGTTAAATGTTCCTGGTAGCCTATGGATTTTATAATGACTAACCGTCCCATTCCTAACAAGACTAATGGCCAGACAGAATACAGCGATTTTCTAAGGTAACTAAATCTAGACCCTTCTATATATTTCCTTC